CTTGAACACCAAAAGCACTTGCACCTCAGACCGTGTTTTTTCGACTAAGACCTCCTACCTGCACCTCTCACACCCCACGCGCAAAAAAAACATCGCGCACATCGCGCACACCATATAAATCGCCTCCAGCCCTTCGAGGCCAATGCCTCCATGCCTGACACTGAATTAATCTGAATTATGTATCACCACCAAGGTTGAGCTCAGGCTTCTGCCATCTGCCATAAACACCACCATCCTTGCCTTCAAGCAGATATACCTAGATCACCCCCAAACGAACATGGCAAGTCTACATGCGAAATCGCGCCGTCGTACCGAGTCGTACCTGGAGAAGGAAGTGCTGATCTTCCAAACCCCGATCTTCAGAATCTTCAGAACTGTAGGGACATCGTTGCGAACGCTGGGTCGCCGCTGATCGTAGCTGAGTGACGGATTGTTGGGCCACCCAGGCCTGGCTTTGGCTGGAGGAACGAAGCATGAAGTCATGATCATGGAGGCTATGCTGTGCTCCTGGAGCTGTTCTCTACAGGAAAATCTGCCAGAAGCCCCTGTCTATAGCCCAAACAATAGGTTTTCCATGGTGTTCCTACAGATTTTCCTATGCAGTGCCCTCCTGCTGCCGCTGCCACTGCCTCTGCTGCGGTCCCAATCCGGCACACCCCACAGAGGACCGTCCGTCCCCAATCCATCCCACAAGAGATGCCTTGCCAGCGCAGGGCCTGCTGCCCAAAGGCAAGTCAGCCGCCTGATGCGTTCATTGCCAGGGGTTCGGCCACAAGAGGCAGTTCTAATTTATTAATAAGAAGTTTCCATAAGTGCAGCTCACATGCATTTCAAACTTCGAAGGTCTGAGGTCAGTGGGTCATGAAAATTGCCTCTCAGGCATTCAGAAACAAATGCCGTTGTTGTATATACCTAGGAAACAGAACTGAAACCGGCTTTTGTACCACAATCACTCGGCAAACTTCATTCCCTTCGCGCTCGGGGACTTGTCCCTTTGCCAAACTTCATCCGGCCCCGAAACGGACCTCAGCGAGCTCTTCCTGCTGTGACTCTATGACGCTTTGGATGGACATAGAAGTTTGCGCTTCAGCGAGGACGCTATTAGGTGGAGGCCATCGCAAGTAGGTTGGAGGCCATCGCTACTAGTAACAAGAAGCTACTAGTAACAAAGGGCACTACTACTAGGAGCCAGGACGCTACTAGTAGCTCCTGGCATCGCTACTAGTAGCAAGGGTGTTGGGTGTTCGTCGGGGAGGACAGGCTCTGGAGATCTGTCCGACAGTAGTGAACCGCATGAACCGCTTGATAGTCAGTATAGCAGGGTCAGTGTCAGTGTATATACAAAGGATTTTTTTCCACCGGGCTCTGAAGGATATGGCTGAAGAAACGGTGAATGCAATTGGTAGCTAAGCATCTAGTGCTTGAATCCCAGCTCCAGTACAACAAATTCCTTCAGTCGAATGTCATCATAATACATGCGGCCAACCCACTAACTGGATCGATCATGGTATCCCTTCAGACCGCCTCTGTGACCGTGTCTCTTCGCAGCCGCTCCGCCACCATGGGGTCCAGGACTATCCAGACCTAGGCTCCGGACCGGTGGGACATGAGGATGGGACACCGAAATTCTCCGTTGCAATGCGGTCACGCGTTTTTCATCATGCTCCCTAGGGCCCAAACAACCTTCAAGCGATTCAAGCCGAGATGAAGGGCTCCACACAGCTGAATGCATGAGAATCCGGACCAACATCCACCAAGCTATCAACGAAGCACCAGTAAATCGATTGGGCGCGCCCGACTTCGGACATTGGCTTCGCAAATGGGGAACCATGGCAACCACCTGGTAGTAGTGGCAGCCCCAACCTGTAATTAGCTGGAAAAGCAATGATGATGGCCCCCCACAGCAGTCTCAGGAGACTAAGAACCCAAACTGTCCCAAACTTCAATGAACGCGAAGAAGGATTGATCATCAACCCGACCTGATAGACTGACACTGATTGAAATGTCCTGGATCCCGCCACCACTCGCCACTCACTCCATTACCCAGTCACTCCAGTAGGAAGGCGATGCTCGCCACTGGCACATTTCAGCAGCAGCGGCCCCAGACCCGCAGCCACTGTGAGCCCCAAAGCGTCCCGCAGCTGGCAAAGGTTTTGCAAGAGTGGGTGAAACAAACGGTGGGCGGTCCCAGGAAGACTTGCATGAAGGAGCTGGAACAAAGGCAGGAAGCAAGGGCTTTGAAGTCACAAACGGAGGGAACCGGGGAATCTTGAAGCTCTCAATTACGGCCCCTGCACACATACTGTGCCGCGCCGGGCACACAAAGTGCGAACTAGTGCACCTGCTAATAACAAGGACTTGAAAGATTGGTATTGTTTGACAAAAATTGTGCACAGTTTCCCGGAAGCTGGCTGTTAGCCCTAAATGGCCTCTTTCAGATCAAACCTTGCTTGGATTTGCTGTGGGGTCTTCCAAAACCGTGACCCAAAGGGAACCTCGCCTCGCTCCAGCTCATTGGCGTGGCCCTGGGCTGCTGCCGTGGCCGGCGCTTCCGCCGCTGGCTATGTGGGGGCATGGGCACCTGGCTGTGAAGTTGAGGGCGTAGAGATGAGGATATCATGATATCCAGATGTCACCTTACACTATCCCGGCAAAAGACCCCAAACAGAAGAATGACAAAATGAAAGCGCGCGCACGAGGGCCTTTATGCACACTCACATAATAAAAAGAGTCTTCTAAATTGCACTCTCCCTGCCAAACACATGGCACCTGAGCAGCAACTGGTCGCAAAATGCAGGAGAGCCGCAGGTATTTCGGCACATTCCCATCGCCTGCAGGAGAAAGGGATTAAACACAAGTGGCCAGGTTTTGGGAGCGGTGCTGGAAAGCAGCTGGTCACTTCAAACAACCTGTATGTAAAAAAAGCAGTTCGTAACCCCACGCCTGGTGTTTCCAGCCTTTGTGGAATCTCAGCCTCGCTGGACAGGCCGCCCGGCGAGCAGGACAGTGCCCATCAGAAATGCTGTAAGCTTAGATCTGACATGATCAAAATGACTAAGATTTCAACTCTGCTCCTCTCTCCTGCAAAGCCAAGGCGAATGAGGTTGGATGCAGGTTTTCCACCAGGAGGGGGTGGGAACACAAGAACATGGCCACATGTCATCTCACCAACCCTCCCTCCCAGTAGGACTAGGCTATTGTGTGTACCGCAAGCAGTGCTCATTGCTCGCACGAGGGTTGGCTGCAACTCTGACCCACCCGCCGGCAAACTGCGCTGCATCCTTTTCCCCACTTCAAAGGATGAAAACTCGGCTCAGTTCGTTCATCCCCCCCTGCTTTCGCCCCCGACCCGGCGCAGCGAAAAAACTCGCACGCCGAAACTCCTGGGTCTCGCTGGGCCCGCCGCTTGCGCACCTCACTTCCAACGGCGGCTTGGCATGTCTGTTCCTCCGTTCATTTTTAGTCACCTAGGTGTGCATTGTGACCCACGGCCACATCCAAACTCGTGAGCCATTTGGGGATTGGCATAGATTGGCCGAAGTTTCATCAAAGATTCATGACAGTTCATAGTTGCCTCCAACCTCATTCGTAGGCTCACTCACTCCGCTGCAACCACAATGATGTGGGCTTGATTCCGCATCGCTGAGTACTGCGACGACTGTCAGAGCTCGCCAGTCTGAGAGCAGCACCATCTTCAACGCCTGCACATCAAACTGCGATTGGTAAAACATGTTGATGCCAAGCCCTTGATCTGGTACAAGGGTAGAGTAGGAGAACAGCTGGGGAAGGCTTAGACCTGCTGTTCTTGAGCCTCCGATTTGTCAAGGCCTGTGGGAGGTTGCTACTACCGGCCATGCTAAACACTTCAGTCAACCAATCAGGACTCACTCCGAACCTCGCCACCAAGCAGCAGCACCTACACTGACTCACCCCGTCGTCCGCTCCACCGGACCACTCGGCGACGCGTCCTGCCATGGGTTTTTCTATCTGGATGCGCTCCATCACTTCATTCTAGCTATCATTCTACACAGCTTAAGGTCGCAGCTCCTGTCCAACCTGTCTTTCAGGTGATCGAGCCATCTCCAGGTGCACTGGAAGCGCCCACACTCTTCGCAGCGTGCATCAGATTTGGAGATCTCAGTCTCGCTGCTGAGGCAGGGTCGCAGTTGCGAGTCTCCCAGAAATGAGGCAAACCAACAAGTAGTAACAGGTGCCACGCTAGTAGTAACAGGTGCCTTACTAGTAGTAACAAGATGCTTGTAGGAACAAGTGCCACGCTAGTAGTAACAGGTGCCTTACTAGTAGTAACAAGAAGCTTGTAGGAACAAGTGCCACGCTAGTAGCAACAGGTGCCTTACTAAGTGCAAGGTAAAGTATGTGGACAATCCTTCAGTCCAACTCGACACCCCACTGCTGCAACCCTGCCAAAGCGGGGAGGAGATGGGCATCTCATGGAACATCTTTTCTTGAAGTCCCCTGTTGCTCAGGGGGCCTGGGACACGCCCGGCCCGCTCACAGACTGTGTGCTCGGTCAATGTGCAATTCCTGGCAATGAGGCACCAAGCAATGGCGGCCGTCCTCCTATCAGATTGAGCCCTACCAGGTCTGGTGGACGTGGTGAATCACCTGCGTCCAGGCCCCAGGCCCTTCTCAGTGGTGCTAGGGGATTCTGGGCTGCCCTTCTCAAGAAGTCCTACTCCCAATGAGTGCCATCAAGCTTAATCAGGAATCTCGCACCAGACGGCATCCTCCAGACACTTACAGGTCCCTTATCGATCTGCCGCCTCCTCAGCCTTGGCGAAGTCGGTAAGCCTCGACGCTTCAGATCCGAAGGTGGAGGATCCCCAGATGTCCATCACAGCCACACACCCTTAATCGAAACCAAACCTTCAAGAAACTCGCGTTGCCTCCTCTTTTTGAGAAGGATCCCTATGACCAACCCTGTTTTGTCTAACGCTTTCCGGGACTCTGGCCGCGCCGTGCGCCAGCCTGGACCATCTTCAGGAGTCCAAGCCCGCCGCGCCGGATCTCGTCCACCTTCTCTTCCTCATGGGTTCTCTTCGACCCCGCTGCGCTGGGGCGGAGAGCGTCGGAGACCCGGTCTTTTTCGGAAAGTCGCTGGGTGGGAAGTTAGGCACGTTGGGGGTGGGAGCATCGAATGGCACAGATGTGAGTCGCTGATTCCACGACACAATTGGAGAAAAACAATACAAGAAGGCGCACTCGCGTGTCCCACCATCTGAGGTCCAGGACCTTCCGCTGCCGTGCTTCAGCGTATTCCTTCTGCATGCTTTGCAGTAGGTCATCCACCTCCTGGCGAAAGGGCCCTTCCACCGCCCAGGAACCCTGCGAATGTGCATGGAAAGACGGGTGAAGTGAGAAAAGCCGCCGCCAGCCGACGCGACCCGGAAGAATCCACCCAGTTGAGCCGCGACAAGCCTAGACGCGTCCAGAGCGTTCGGTGTGAAGATGTGTGAGCGTTCTGGTGCAGGAGGGAGACAAGCAAAAGCAAAAAATCGAAGACACCCATCCCGGTCCTTCTGCACTGCTGCCAGGGAGTCCTCCTGTTCCTTGACCTTGGCATCCAACTCCTCTGGAGGCAAGTCCATGTAGCCCTGGTGGCGAAGGTGGTAAACTTTGCGAAACCAAAATGGTGACTGCCCGTCCGGGTGGGTCAAAGTGGCAAGGCTCCTGCATCCTCAAAACCCATATCCATGAATCATGAACCTTACAAGAGAGGTATGGGACTTGGCCAAGTCTCCAGCCCCACCTGCGGTGTGGCCCGCGGGAGGTCGTTTGTAGGGTGAACACGGGAGGTGCCCAGTGACACGCCGCGGTCCTCACCTGGACTTGCTTCTTGCGCTTGTTGTCACACCAGTCCAGCCTCTCTGGACCACAAGCAGGCGTCAGGTCCTCACAGCCGACGCTCGGGGACCCGGGGGCAGCTCCGGCGAAGTCACGAGTCAAGCCAGGAGCCCCTAGTAGCTTCTTGCTCCTAGTCGTAAGGCCAGGAGCCCCTACTAGAAAACTAAATTCATCACCTCTCTCTCTCTCTCTCTCTCTGGTTTTGCTAAATTTTATAACGGAAAAATTGAAATATTGATGAGTGGATGCTACTTGGCCCTGTTTCCCTTCCATGCTACAGTACAATAGGATTATTCACAAACTACTGTAGTCCAAGACTTCTGATGACTTGTGTTCAAATACTCAATCTGAAGGTGCCTTCAACATCCTTCAACTACTGTGAGCAGGTTGCTCCGGCTGCGCCCGCCATCGCACAGCCTGAGCGAACTTCTGCAAGCTCGGAAGGTCACGGCCGCCAGTGTAGTCCTTCGAAGTGCCCCGGGGCCGTTGATTTATAGACATCAATACCTTCAGGAAAGTACATGGAACAGCCCCTGCAGGATCCTACAAAGCTTTCTGTGCCAACCTAAGAATGACATGTCCATGCTCATTCTAGTTGGAACGGTTCCAAAACGAGATCCGTGCCCCTCGAAGTCGCAAAGCGAATGGCAAGGTCCATGATGGTCCATGTGTCTCCTCAAGACTGAAGGGATCCCCATACCTGAGCTGCCGTCGACTCCAAGCATTGTCAAGTACTCAAGGATTGTATTGATTTGTCTCAAGGCGTTCCAATAAAGGCATTGGAGGAGGATAAAGAGCATTTGGATAGATGAATCTTCTCGAGGTCTTCTTCAATACCTTCCACTCTGACATCAAGGATTGGAGATCATTGAAGCGAGTTGATAGTGAACTCAGCCTCACCAGAGTGACCTTGAACCACAGGAGCTTCACCGGTGTAAAGGCCGAGGAGCTTCACAGCAGGGTAAGACTTCACGTCCATTTCTTTGCACTTGGCTTTGCCATTCCCTTCACAATCGACCTCTGCCACCAGCACACTTTCGTCATCTCTGTACTCCTCTATGCGGACACGGTCGTGTTTTGAGGTGGGTGCTTGAGATATCAAGCCTTTTCTCTTCAAATGGGAGGCCGGTGGCAGCTGATGAGAAGTGCAGGCCTTCCTATACACAGCTCAAGCTCAGCAACTCAGGTATGTTCTTGATAATGCGAACTCATCCAAATATGCAAATATCTACACAATGGTATTAATTATACACATAAGTATAGAGATTCATATGAGCAAGGGACCAAATATTTAAAGGAAACTCTATCTTAAGTTTATGTCGATAAATATATCGATATATTGAAATACAATCATACACCTACTCCCGCAAATGTTAGCATGGAACATGAACACCGCTCTCAATCTTACTGTGGCGTACATTTACCGTATACATGGATTTTGGAGACTAACATAGAACGCAACCTAGCTATTGCGCATGGCAATGTCCACCAGGAGATGCTGACATAGAACATGCCAGACGGCCGCAGATAATTAGCCAACATCGGGCTATCTTCCAGGTCTTGAAACCCAACGCGTCCAGCATCACCCCAAGATTCATCTGAACCTAGTGGAACATTTGAGATGCTCCATTCCCCGGTGTACATGCCATGTTTCTCTAGACTCTGGCGCGTCCTCCATCAGGGCATCCCAGGCTGGCTTCATGGTCTTGCATTGCCCACACCAAGGCGTAAAGAACTTGAGGAACACGGCCTTTCCACGGATCATTTCCTAGGCGGGGAGGACCAGGGCTGAAGGATCGCTGGATAGCCAGATTTCTGCAAAGACATTATATAAACTCCGTTCTTCCACCGACTCGGCTGGTCAAAAAGGGAGAGCTGGATTTCTATAAGTCAGGTGCTTGGGTTTATAACATATTCTCCTGGAAAACATGCGTATAGATTATAGATTTGGCACTCATCCATTTTTGTGGGAACGCACTTATTAATAATCAAATGATTACAAATGCAGCCAGGTGAAGGTCAGTTCCACATACATCTCCACTACCCCTTCTCTCTTTCTCTCTCTTTCTCTCTCTCTCTCTCTCTCTCTCTGTCGCTCTCCGCAGCGTCTGGCTACAACGCAGCCGGCCCAAAGGGACACGCTGAGGAAGGACGATACCCCTTGTTTCAATATCATCGTTGCTGGTTACAAGGGGATGTTCGAGTTCTATGCCAAGGCTCATCCCAATCAGCTTGCGAGAGCTCAATCGCACACACATGCAGCAGACCAGTCGCCAGCACAGCAGCTGCTGCCAGCATGGCCCAACAAGCTAATGCAAACACCTGGTGATTTTGAATCTATGTTTGTATATACATGTTACATATGTATATATATACACCTGCACATATACATATATAAAATTTTCGACCATACGAAAGTCTCATCCGCTCAGAAGCTCTTATTTTTCTCACATTGGGGACGTGTACGGTGCAGCTGTGCTGCCAGTTCA